TTTGGTTAGAGTGGGATTTGGTCCCAACTGGGGGGGTTGTCTCTCTTCCTCTACAACTGCCAAGTCCTTGGCCCCTCGTAAGCCTTCATTTTGACGGACCATATAGGTAGTGTTCACCATTAACATCAAAGGTAAAAAGGAAGCTGTTAGATTGGTCATTTGTTCAAGAACAAATAGTCTGATGCAAGGCTGTTTCTCGGAGAGTTGATGAGTTTGTTTGGAGAAGAAATGTTCGATTTTGGCTCGAATCAACATGGCTCTGATACCATGTTAATGTTTTACACCGGAGATAACAAAGAAGAAAGAGAGCTAAGGTAAATGAGAAGGTTGCGTTTTTGTTACATTTCAGATGAGTTTACATTGCACTAATAAAGCAGATATTACACTGTTGCACCAACTTTGCAGACATATAATACATGATTTAATCTAAAGCCACAAACTTAATACCACCTAATCAACAACATGCGCACATCTATTATAATCTGGAGCACATATCTCATTACAAATAAGAAAAACTTTGCAGCACATCAAATGACCCCCGGAGATTGCCTTCATTTTTGCCGCCAACACATATTCAAAAACACTAACTAAGCTGCTGCATTTCTAGCCAACTACAATGTTCAACAGAACTGCATTCATTACATCATCAAACTTTAACTTACCGCGTTGAATTCTCTGTCTCTTTTCTTCTGTGGTGTTGCCTGTGAAGTAACGAATCAACAAAACAAGAAGGACCAGCACAGCTACTGCCAATCCAATCCTTCGATAGAAGTCAGCTTGTTCAGGCAAACTTGCAGTGGAGCCTGCTGATCCAAGGCACAGCTAATAGAACTCATCATCTCTCCTATGCCGTTTCCATACCGACAGAATTGATAGCATAGAACTATAACCATCTGTGACCTTTATGACGAAAGCAAAAAGGATTCTGTTGCCATTGATCTCAACATGGTCACTTCACCAATCATGCTAATTCATCCAACTTCAAGGAGTGACCATTCAAGAACAACCCATCAGCCGGAATTTAATCGTTGATCTTCAAACACAAAACTCACCCACTAAAACTTCAAGATGTGACACGGCTTGGTGCCTGCCATCTCTCACTACAACTTTATGTCACCACTCTCAGAAAAGCTTTTCAAATGTCTATTTTGCTAAAGTTACTCGCGGCAGGTACAGTTACAACCAAAAACACATCAATATATACTGCTCGTCCACATACCACCCTTCTTTCAAGCCATCTCTTTAATTCCGAAGGCAAGAAAGTACTGCATAACTAGAAGTATGATAATGGTAGTATCTTTGAATGCTTCATAAAAAACTAAAAACGTTTTTTGCATCTGGCTTTTAATAACAGTTTTGACCAAAGCATTCGTTCTATACGAAGTTGAGCCTCATTACCTGGGACACCATTCTTTCGTCGTTCCAAGAATTGCAGCAACTTGCTTCCCTCCTCCAGGTTACTCAAAGATTCGAATTTCTCTTTCACCAGGTAGTGATGTATTTTCTGATCAATGTCGAGAAATTAACTCCAGTGTCTACCGATAACAATGGCAACATAAAGAGGGACCGCAAGATTTGTTTTTGGCTATCTTTGATGATGTAGGTGATAACCTGCTGGAAATGAGAAAGCTTCTGGTTTAATTCAATTTGTTTTTGGAGCCAAGTTTCAGCTTCCGTTTTGTTATGACTAATGGTTATGGAGCAGATACCAGGCCACTCATGTGAAGACTTTTTTGGTCATGTTTTGTTGAGACTTGACTTGGGTTGGTGCATATTTTTAGCTAAAGTGTATTTGTAATATTTTATTTTACTGTAGTGTAAAAACTGTGACTAAGTTTATATATCATTGCTCTGTTCAATGAAAGAAATGCAAAGAGAAAATCCCTAAAATCTTGCCGTCTCTTTCATGTTCAATCTCTCTCAATTTCTCTCTGAAATTTTCTTCCTTGAACCAACAATGGTACAGAGCATATTGATCTCAGGGCCTGATAACCTCATCTCTCTTCTCCATTTTCTCAACCTTTGTTACGCTGAAATCAGTTTCAAGTTCCACACAAAATGACTCAATGGCACAACCCTCAACTTCTCTATCTCCTCCAACCTACAATGGGACCAATATCACTGGGCTGTCAAAATGAAACGTTCTGAGAGACAAGGATATGGCATATGTTGAAAAGAATAACAACCACCTGTACTTAGGCCAAACCCCACCCTGAACCAGATTAATTACATGATGAAGAAGCCACCAATCACCTAGAGCCTTGTCCCATATTCATGCAGCTGTGACTAAGCAAGTGTTCACTAGAATCATGGCATATGAGTCAGCTAAGGAGCATGGGATAAACTCAAAAGAGAGTTCGTGGTAGTGATATAACAAAGGGTATGCAGGCTAAACTTGAGGAGGGAGTTTGAGATGCTGAAAATGCAGGAGTCTGAAACCGTGAAGAGAATGTGGATAGGTTTGATGATGTGGTAACAAATCAGATTAGGGAGAGGAGATGTAAGATAAAAGGATAGTTGAAAAGGTTCTTGTTAGCCTACCCGAAGATTTGAATCTAAGATATCTTCACTTGAGGATTCTAAGGTTTGACACAAACACCCTCTTGATTTGGTGTATGCTCTGCAGCAAGAACACAGGAGATTGTCGAGGTAAGAGACACTAGTGAAGGTGCAATGGTGGTGATTCAAATTTAACACCAGGCCGTGGAAGCAAGAGACCTGCGAGAAAGAAGGAAAAGAGAATGGGAAACCAGTGTAATAACCGATGGAGGAAAGAATTTCCACCATGTGCTCACTGCAAGAAGGGGCATAGTGAAAATATGTGCTGGTTTAGGCCTAATGTTCAGTGTGATCATGCAAGCAATATGTCACATTGAAAGGTATGCAAAGCAAATCAACTCAGTCAACACCGCAGCTCAGATTATGGACCAGCAGCTAAAGTCAGATCCAGAGCATTTGTTTGTGACCTCATACAGTGTTGTTCAAGCTCAAAATGATGATGGCTGATAGAGGTGGTTGCACAATCAAATGACAGCAAACTTGGAAGACTTTGTGAATTTGGAAGTCTTACCATTCCAGTTTAAGGTTGTAATGGGGAATTTGTAGCTGTGAAAGGGAGAGGAGATGTTGCTGTACAACAAAATCAGGTATCAAACTCATTTCCAATGTCTTGTATGTGCCTAGTTAAGTCTAATCTCTTGATGTTGGTCAAATGATGGAGAGGAAATGCCCTGCACTTCCAGGATCATTTTGCACAATCTTGGAACAGTGAAGGAATGAATTATGAGGTTAGGATGATGGAAAAAGTTTCCCTAGGCTGAAAAACCTGACAAGAAACATATGTTGTAGTGGTGATGAACGGACTTAGGTCATAAGAGATTAGGCCACTTAAACTACCATAGCCTTAGGGAAACTCAAACCAAAGAATTGGTCTGTGATCTGCCCAAAATTGGTGAAAACAAAACCATTTGTTCTACTTGTCAACTTGGCAAGATAAGCAGACTTCCCTTCCCTGTAAACAGGCCTGGAGAGCTAGTGAAAAGCTACAACTTGTCCATACGGATGTGTGTGGACCTATGCAAACACCATCCCTAAATGGAAGCAAGTTTTTATCCTCTTCATTGATTTATTCCTAGATTGCTGGGTGTTCTTTTTAATTAAGAGTGAAGTTGTAGTGGTTTTTGAGAGGTTTAAAGTACAAGTTGAAAAGCAATCAGTTTAAGAATAAAGAATGTTAGAAGTGAACTGGGAGTGAGTATACTTCCAAGAATTTGAAAAATCTGCAGGGAGGCTGGAATTATTCACCAGTTTAGTTGTCCTATCACCCATAGCAAAATGGAGTTTAGTGAGAGAAGAATAGGACTGTAATGGAGATGGCAGGTGCATGGTTGCGGAGAAGAGCTGCCTAAAACATTTGGGCAGAACTGTAAATACCAAGGTCTATTTGCTTAATAATAGCTCCTTACTAAAGCCTTGACAAATCAACAACCCTATGAAGCTTGGTATGGAATGAAACCCTCAGTTAGAAACCTAAAGATCTTTGGGAGTGTGTGTTATGCTCTCATTCTAATAGCTAAAAGAAGCAAACTTGATGTGAAGGCTTTGACAAGAGTTTTTATAGGATCAGTGACAGTCCAAAGCCTATAGATTATATGATCCTACAGCCAAGAAGATACACATCACAAGGGATGTGAGGGTGGATGAAAAAGGGACTTGGAACTGGGAGAAAAATGAAGTCTGAAATGGACAGAATAAGCAATTGCAGATGCTCCAGTGGACAGATTTGACATTCCAAAGAGGCAGACTTGGATGATTTTTTCCAATCAGGGAACAGGTCCTTGACTGAGGTTTATGAGAGATGTAATGAAGCCATGATTGAACCTGCAAACTTCAGGGAGGCTGCCAAATCCGAAGTCTGGAGGAATGCAGGCAGAGGAGATAAACATGATTGAGAAGAATGAACTTGTGGAGTTTAGTTGACAGACCAAAAAAACCAGAAGAGTGATCCAAGTAAAATGGATTTTTAAAAGGAACTAAGGCCTGATGGTTCAGTGTAAAACATAAGCAAGACTAGTTGTTAAGGGTTTTGTCAACAATATGGTATTTTTTAGATACCTTGCCCCTGGCTAGACATGATACTATAGGATTCTTCTTGCATTGGCTGCCCAATTTGAGTGGAGAATCTACCAACTAGATGTCAAGTCACATTCCTAAATGGTTGGCTCAATGAGGAATTTTTGTGGAGCAACCGGAGGGATATGAGTGAAAGTGATGAGCATAGGTGTATTTGCTGAGAAAGTCCTTATATGGCTTGAAACAGGCTCCAAGACCTGGTACAGCAGAATCAATGAGTATTTGAGAGTTTGGTTATGCAAGGAGTGCTAATGAGCACACATTATATGTTAGGAGGAAGGAAAATGAGTGTACATAATTTCACTTTATGTTGATGACCTACTCATCAGGGAAGCAGTTCAATCACTTAAAATGATTTCAAATCAGCCATGCATAAGGAATTTGAGATGACTGATCTAGGGGAGATGTCCTACTTTCTTGGGATGGAAATCCACCAAAGTCACCATGGGATATTTGTCAATCAAAAGAGGTATGCAACTCAAATTTTGCATAAGTACAACATGGACAAATACAAACCAGTGGACACTCCATTGGTTGTGAATTTAAAATTGAGTAAGGATAATGGGGCTGAGAAAGTTGATGAAACAATGTACAGAAGCATCATAGGCTGCCTTCTGTACTTGACTGCCACCAGACTAGATTTAATGTTTGCTGCTAGTGTTCTTTCTAGGTTCATGTCCAATCCTAGTGAGATTCATCTTAAAACAGCCAAGAGAGTGCTGAGGTATGTTAAAGGAAGTGTTGAGCATGGAATATGGTTCAAGAAGGCTGAAAAATTGCAACTTGTTGGCTACTCTTAGTGTGATTAGGCTGGATGCATTGATGACATGAGGAGTACATCAGGTTATGTATTCTTCTTGAACTTAGGGGCCGTATGCTGGCATTCCAAGAAGCAAGACACCACAGCACAGTCCACGGCAGAAGTAGAATACATTTCTGCTACTGCCGCAGTTAACCAAGCTATTTGGTTGAGAAAGGTCATGCTTGATTTGAGGTAGATTCAAGAAGAACCCACTGTGATTTTCTGTGATAATCAATCAGCAGTAGCTATGGCAAAGAATCCAATCCTACACGGCAGGACAAAGCATATCAAGATCAAGTTCCATGCTGTGAGAGAAGCTGAAAGTAATGCTAAAGTAAAACTAATCCATTGTAGGGGTGAAGATCAACTTGCGGATATCATGACCAAGGGTCTACCTAAAACCAAGTTTGAGAGTTTAAGACTTAGACTTGGTGTTTCCAGCAAGCTTATCAAGGAGGAGTGATGATGTAGGTGATAACCTGCTGAAAATGAGAAAGCTTCTGGTTTAATATTCAAATTTGTTTTTGGAGCCAAGGTTTCAGCTTCCGTTTTGTTATGACAGTAATGGTTATGGAGCAGATACCAGGCCACTCATGTGAAGACTTTTTTGTCATGTTTTGTTGAGACTTGACTTGGGTTGGTGCATATTTTTAGCTAAAGTGTATTTGTAATATTTTATTTTACTGTAGTAAGTAAAAACTGTGACGTAAGTTTATATATACATTGCTCTGTTCAATGAAAGAAATGCAAAGAGAAAATCCCTAAAATCTTGCCGTCTCTTTCATGTTCAATCTCTCTCAATTTTACTCTGAAATTTTCTTCCTTGAACCAACAATTGGTATCAGAGCAATATTGATCTCAAGGGCCTGATAACCTCATCTCTTCTTCTCCATTTTCTCAACCTTTGTTACGCTGAAATCAGTTTCAAGTTCCACACAAAATGACTCAATGGCACAACCCTCAACTTCTCTATCTCCTCCAACCTACAATGGGGACCAATATCACATTGGGCTGTCAAAATGAAAACGTTCTTGAGAGGACAAGGATTATGGCAGTATGTTGAAGAGAATAAACAACCACCTGTACTTAGGCCAAACCCCACCCTGAACCAGATTAGATTACATGATGAAGAAGCCACCAAATCACCTAGAGCCTTGTCCCATATTCATGCAGCTGTGACTAAGCAAGTGTTCACTAGAATCATGGCATATGAGTCAGCTAAGGAAGCATGGGATAAACTCAAAGAAGAGTTCGGTGGTAGTGATATAACAAAGGGTATGCAGGTGCTAAACTTGAGGAGGGAGTTTGAGATGCTGAAAATGCAGGAGTCTGAAACCGTGAAAGAGTATGTGGATAGGTTGATGAATGTGGTAAACAAAATCAGATTAATGGGAGAGGAGATGATAGATAAAAGGATAGTTGAAAAGGTTCTTGTTAGCCTACCCGAAAGATTTGAATCTAAGATATCTTCACTTGAGGATTCTAAGGATTTGACACAAATCACCCTCATTGATTTGGTGTATGCTCTGCAAGCTCAAGAACAAAGGAGATTGTCGAGGTAAGAGGACACTAGTGAAGGTGCAATGGTGGCTGGATTCAAAGTTAAACCAGGCCAGGGTGGAAGCAAGAGACCTGCGGGAGAAAAGAAAGGAAAAGAGAGAATGGGAAACCAGTGGAATAAACCGACTGGAGGGAAAGAATTTCCACCATGTGCTCACTGCAAGAAGAAGGGGCATAGTGAAAAGAGGTGCTGGTTTAGGCCTAATGTTCAGTGTAGATCATGCAAGCAATATGGTCACATTGAAAAGGTATGCAAAAGCAAATCAACTCAGTCAACACCGCAAGCTCAAGTTTATGGGGACCAGCAGCTAAAGTCAGACCGAGCGTTGTTTGGTGACCTCTACAGTGTTGTTCAAGCTCAAAATGATGATTGGCTGATAGATGTGGTTGCACAAAATCACATGACAGCAAACTTGGAAGACTTTGTGAATTTGGACAAGTCTTACCATTCCAGGTTAAGGTTGGTAATGGGGAATTTGTAGCTGTGAAAGGGAGAGGAGATGTTGCTGTACAAACAAAATCAGGTATCAAACTCATTTCCAATGTCTTGTATGTGCCTAGTTAAGTCATAATCTCTTGAGTGTTGGTCAATGATGGAGAGGAAATATGCCCTGCACTTCAGGATCGTGTTTGCACAATCTTGGACAGTGAAGGGAATGAATTAATGAAGGTTAGGATGATGGGAAAAAGTTTCCATTAGGCTGAACAAACCTGACATAGAACATATGTTGTGAGTGTAGATGAGACTGACTTATGCATAAGAGATTAGGCCACTAAACTACCATAGCCTTAGGGAAACTCAAACCAAAGAATTGGTCTGTGATCTGCCCAAAATTGGTGAAAACAAACCATTTGTTTACTTGTCAACTTGGCAAGATGAGCAGACTTCCCTTCCCTGTAAACAAGGCCTGGAGAGCTAGTGAAAAGCTACAATTGTCCATACGGATGGGTGTGGGACCTATGCAACACCATCCCTAAATGGAAGCAAGTATTTTATCCTCTTCATGATGATATATTCCTAGATGTGCTGGGTGTTCTTTTTGAAATTAAAGAGTGAAGTTGTAGTGGTGTTTGAGAGGTTTAAAGTACAAGTTGAAAAGCAATCAGGTTTAAGCATAAGAATGTTAGAAGTGAACTGGGAGTGAGTATACTTCCAAGAATTTGAAAAAATCTGCAGGGAGGCTGGAATTATTCACCAGTTTAGTTGTCCCTATACTCCATAGCAAAATGGAGTTAGTAGGAGAGGAAGAATAGGACTGTAATGGAGATGGCAAGGTGCCATGGTTGCTGAGAAGAGGCTGGCTAAATCATTTGGGCAGAAGCTGTAAATACAAGGGTCTATTTGCTTAATAGACTCCTACTAAAGCCTTGACAAATCAAACACCCTATGAAGCTTGGTAGGAATGAAACCCTCAGTTAGAAACCTAAAGATCTTTGGGAGTGTGTGTTATGCTCTCATTCTAATAAAAGAAGCAAACTTGATGTGAGGCTTGACAAGAGTTTTTATAGGATACAGTGAGCAGTCCAAAGCCTATGAGTATATTGATCCTACAGCCAAGAAGATACACATCAAGAGGTGTGAGGGTGGATGAAAAAGGGACTGGAACTGGGAGAAAAATGAAGCTGAAATGGACAGAATAGAGCAGATTGCAGATGCTCCAGTGGACAGATTTGACATTCCAGAAGAGGCAGACTTGGATGATGATTTTCCAATCGGGAACAAGGTCCTTGACTGAGGTTATGAGAGATGTAATGAAGCCATGATTGAACCTGCAAACTTCAGGGAGGCTGCCAAATCCGAAGTCTGGAGGAATGCACTGCAGGAGGAGATAACATGATGAGAAGAATGGAACTTGGGAGTTTAGTGACAGACCAAAAACCAGAAGAGTGATCCAAGTAAAAAGGATTTTAAAAGGAGCTAAGGCCTGATGGTTCAGTGTATAAACATAAAGCAAGACTAGTTGTTAAGGTTTTGCTCAACAATATGGTATGGATTTTTTAGATACCTTTGCACCGGTGGCTAGACATGATACATAAGGATTCTTCTTGCATTGGCTGCCCAATTTGAGGGAGAATTCCCAACTAGATGTCAGTCAGCATTCCTAAATGGTTGGCTCAATGAGGAAATTTTTGTGGAGCAACCGGAGGGATATGAAGTGAAAGGGTAGAGCATAAGGTGTATTTGCTGAGAAAGGCCTTATATGGCTTGAAACAGGCTCCAAGAGCCTGGTACAGCAGAATCAATGGTATTTGATGAGTTTGGTTATGCAAGGAGTGCTAATGAGCACACATTATATGTTAGGAGGAAGGAAAATGAGTGTACATAATTCATTCCTTTATGTTGATGACCTACTATCAGGGAAGCAGTTCAATACTTAATGATTTCAAATCAGCCATGCATAAGGAATTTGAGATGACTGATCTAGGGGAGATTCCTACTTTCTTGGGATGGAAATCCACCAAGTCACCATGGGATATTTGTCAATCAAAGAGGGTATGCAACTCAAATTTTGCAAAGTACAACATGGACAAATACAAACCAGTGGACCACTCCATTGGTTGGATTTAAAATTGAGTAGGATAATGGGGCTGAGAAAGTTGATGAAACATGTACGAAGCATCTAGGCTGCCTTCTGTACTTGACTGCCACCAGACTAGATTTAATGTTTGCTGCTAGTGTCTTTCTAGGTTCATGTCCAATCCTATGGATTCATCTAAAACAGCCAAGAGAGTGCTGAGGTATGTTAAAGGAAGTGTTGAGCATGGAATAGGTTCAAGAAGGCTGAAAAAATTGCAACTTGTTGGCTATCTTAGTGTGATTAGGCTGGATGCTGATGACATGAGGAGTACATCAGTTTGATTCTTCTTGAACTTAGGGGCGTATGCTGGCATTCCAAGAGCAAGACACCCACAGCACGTCCACGGCAGAAGAGAATACATTTCTGCTACTGCCGCAGTTAACCAAGCTATTGGTTGGAGAAAGGTCATGCTGATTTGAGGTAGATTCAGAAGAAACCCACTGTGATTTTTCTGTGATAATCACTCAGCCGTAGCTATGGCAAGAATCCAATCACACGCAGGACAAAGCTATCAAGATCAAGTCCATGCTGTGAGAGAGCTGAAAGTAATGCTAAAGTAAAAACTAATCCATTGTAGGGTGAGATCAACTTGCGGATATCATGACAAGGGTCTACCTAAACAAGTTTGAGAGTTTAAGACTTAGACCTGGTGTTTCCCGCAAGCTATCAAGAGAGGAGTGATGATGTAGGTGATAACCTGCTGAAAATGAGAAAGCTTCTGGTTTAATATTCAAATTGTTTTGGAGCCAAGGTTTCAGCATCGTTTTGTTATGACAGTAATGGTTAGGAGCAGATACCAGGCAACTCATGTGAAGACTTTTTTGTCATGTTTGTGAGACTTGGACTTGGGTTGGTGCAT